AGCAAGGCCACTGTTTCACATGTTTACTTAAGCTTGTCAGTCCACTCCGAGAGCTGAGCTATACACACCAGCCATATCTCGAGGCCCCGTATTTTATGGCCAACGGACTACGCCTTCGTTTTGTAAACTGTGTATATCCTTCGCCATTTGATCCGCTGCGTATGACCACAGCTGGGTCTGTGCAGACCTCTGTCGTTTGGTCTGGGTGACTGAGTGTTACGTAATATTCGTTCAGCATTCCTGTCGCCGGCGCATAGTCGTCTGAGGGCCACTGCAACCCTGCTATGTACGTGCTTTGACCCGTGCTGACATTTGCGAGGTTTGTGCTCGCTAGCTTGACCCGAGCTGACCTTAGCTTAACCCTGGCTGACAACCATACGCTGCTGACCTTAACTTGACCCTTTCCGACTTTGACCTGACCCTCTCTGACCTGTTGGACCCATGCTGGCCTTGGTCTGATCCTTTCTGACCTCAGTCTGGCCCATGCCGACCTTGGCTTGATCCGTGCTGACCCGCAGTTGACCCGAGCTGACCTGGTGCGCCTGGTCGCAGGGATGAGCACGGTGGCCGAGGTGGTGGTAGCACGCCACTGCGGCATGCGCGTGTTCGCCTTCAGCCTCATCACCAACGAGTGCATCATGGAGTGGGACACGGACGCCGAGGCCAACCACGAGGAGGTCATCAACGCCGCCAACGCGCGCAAGCACCACCTGCAGGAGCTGGTGGCCAAGATGGCGGTGCGCATGGCGGGCCAGCCTTGAGGCCTGCCACGCACTGCCCCCCCCCCCCCCCCCCCGCCCCCGGCGGCCGCCGGCCAGCCGCTGCTTCCGCCCCGCTCGGTCTGTGCTGCCGCCACGTTCGCCTGCTCTTTGTTTCACTGCAGTTGGTAAAGAAGACGAGTTTGGGAAGGTACGGTGCATCGTCCCGAGTGATGTTGTTACGCGCAGCGTGGGGTGTCGTCGTCGGAACATGGCTGCTGGTCTTCATTGACTGTGCTGCTCGTTCGCTGTGTATCGTTTTAGAGGTCCCTGTGCGGAATGAAAACCGCTGCAAGAACGTTCCGACTTTTTCTTCTGTCCATGCACGTACCAGTTGTTTTAGCTATGGTCCACAGTAAGTTGGAGGAGTGTAGCCTTCAGTAAGCCTTCAGTGTAGGTCTTCAGTGATTATGGCCTAAACATATTGCAAAAGCAGTTATGTATATATATATATATATATATATATATATATATATATATATATATATTTATATATACTCACTTTAAGGGGTAGTAGGTGTGTTGCAAGTGCGCTGCAGCTTGTTTCAAAACAGGTGGAGGGACTATTGTTTTGTTTGCAGGACATTCGATACAGCATTCCATCATAGACCTACCACGCCTCGTGCAATATATTACATACAGATGATCAATTTGTCTGCTGTTGAGCTGGATGGTGCTGTACTCTTTCTTTGTGTTTAGGTCAATTGTGTCTGAAAGGTTCCAATATATGTGCATTTAAAACTGGGTTGTTTCTTATACTTCAGCTTTTGATGCGGTCTCAAATATGAAGCAGTGGCAATGATTACGCCTCTTTTGGCTACGCCCCTCGGACACCCAATCCCCAATCTTTCAGTAAATGAGACGCTTCTTCTTATGATTAGGTCACTTATATGGCGGAGGCAAATATGTATGGCGAGTTTATCTTTGGGTTTCGTCAAATTCTCTTATCCCACCGTGAACACGTATCGTGTGCGTGCGTGCGTGCGTGCGTGCGTGCGTGCGTGCGTGCGTGCGTGTGTGCGTGTGTGTGTGTGTGTGTGTGTGTGTGTGTGTGTGTGTGTGTGTGTGTGTGTGTGTGTGTGTGTGTGTGTGTGTGTGTGTGGTGTGTGTGTGTGTGTGTGTGTGTGTGTGTGTGTGTGTGTGTGTGTGTGTGTGTGTGTGTGTGTGTGTGTGTGTGTGTGTGTGTGTGTGTGTGTGTGTGTGTGTGTGTGTGTGTGTGTGTGTGTGTGTGTGTGTGTGTGTGTGTGTGTGTGTGTGTGTGCCCCCATCTGACACCGATACGTCGCCTCCGGCGCCTCTGCGCCATCGCCTACCGCTTGCCAGAGTGAGCTGTGCAAGGCACCGTCCCACACTGCGCCCATCAGAGACCTGGACATGGACCGCCCACCTGGTGAGAGGGTGGAGCCGACAGGCACACAGCGAGCACCCGGCGTGACCTGCGCTTACACTTTACGGTATTCTCGGCCGGTGCACTCTGAAGACTCGGCCTGACCGGCCTGTCCGACGGACGACTCGACCCCTTGTCGCCCTTCCCACAAGCGGCGATGGCGGGACCTCTATCTGCACCGACCATCCCACCACCGAGGAGCTACAAGTCCGGGCGCATACCGCGCCGGCAGAGAACGGCTTATGTCCCGATTAGAGATGCTGTTTTCTGGAAGTTTTTGTCAAATGTCGAATCCAAGGTCCAATAATGGACTAGTTGTTGGTCCAAATCGGCCAAGAAGTTTTGTCTTCAAAAATTTTCAATGTTGTTTTTTTAAAAATTAAATTACATGTACAACCCTACAACCGATTTACCCCAGTCACCGCTTGCGTCACTGCATTACCCCCTTCCAGTCGAGTGAGTAAAAAGACAAAATGACCGTCGGTGAGTTACACATACCACAGGGTTTCCTGAAAAATTTAGTGTACATTTCAGGTCAACCTAGCACAATCAGCATGTGATGACAAAGGCGGCAGCCGTGAAGCTGGGACCAAAACTAGTGCGAACCGCGAATGATGGGAGAATCGATGCTCGCGTTCCCATCTCACTTTATAAGCGTCATAGCCTTAGGAATATGTGTCGGTGTACGTGACGAGGGTTCTATTTTATGCTTCGAAACATCACATTTTATAGCGCGCTCTATCGACAGCTTATCTATTTTTCAGGATTGACTTATGTTGAAAACGAGCCACATGAAATAGGATGGAGTGCGTAACCATCTGCGACTTCAGTCCCGGCAGATTTGTAACACCTTTAACCTCGCCACTTTTTGTGCCTTGCGCTATGGACTAAAACGTTATGGACTTTAGTTCCATAATAGTTCTATGGACTATAGTTCCGTTATGGACTATAGTCCATGTGCTATGGACTATAGTTCGTGCTGCTGCCGTAACGAAATACCACCTGGTGATGATTGGCTCCGCCAGGGGCCAATAACTATACCCACCAACGCCCGTTGGTTGGAATTTCGATCAGCGACACGTGTCGCTTTGTAATAGAGTGGTCATGAGTGGTAATCCATATAGAGTGGTAATCCATACTTGTGTTTAACTAGAGCTAAATCATGAATCGACTCATGAGTCAGTCGTTTAAGGATTAGTTGTGAGCTGAATCGGCTCTCCAGGAAAAAAAATCGTGAGCTGAATCATGAGTCCATCATTACTAACAATGTTGGGTGAGTGCGTCATCCGGCTGAAACGAAAACGGTAACATGAGGCATCACAGGACACTCCAGACAAACTAACAGACCATCTCAGAGCATTCAAAAGAACAGCGTGCAGTACAAGTTGTAATTTTTTGTGTGTAAAATCCGCGCAAAGTCTGCTACTAACTTTTTTCTAAGCAGCAAACACCATATTGTTGGTCCTGAGCTGAAGCTTGCCAGATCCCAGCCAGGAAGCAGAGGACATTACATGGTTCAGACACCCCACATTCCTATGTCCTGCCCTGAAATCAATGAAATATTGTCTAGCCAATTTTTTCTCTGTAAATTGTCACAACAATGAACTAATCCATACACGACACCTCGCTCACTACCACTTGAACTGCTGTAAGCATGCTTTTGCTGAGGGTATATGAGATAAATGGAAAGATCATCTTGGCTCATGTGCACATTGTATGTGACCTCATTGTATGTCACATTGTATGTCACATTGTATGTGACACGTGACCTCCCTGGGATGTCATCGATGACTTTTTCCATGCGACATGCAGCTTATGAGAATTTGGTGTCCAAATCAGGTAGTCTTGAAGTGCGGGTAAAGTGGCGCACAACACTCTAATCACTACTTAGTGCGGAAACCTGTCTCAACTCCCAGCCCGCCATAGAGCAAGGGCGGTTATTAGACTTCGGGATGGGGGAGGCAAAAGCTTCACGAGGGGCTCCCAAACCGACAGGCCCGTATATTTCAGTGCAAGTGTAAGTCAGAGCCTTGCAAGGGAGAGGTAGAGTTGACAAAGGGCTCTCTGATAGTAAAATCCCCCTAGCCAAAAATCACCAAACATGGCCAATTTGCCAATAAGCGCGCGTTTTATAGCTTTTAATTTCACCTCCTTTAACTGGAATAGAAGCCACAATCTACCGCGAGATTAATTCTGCCTGCATTTTATAGTCAATCACCTGCAGAAGTCAGGGATGACTGCATGAAATAAATCATCGGCGTTCTTCGTTTTACAATGGTCCAGCGGACTTTTTGTAAACCGATAGAACTCAGAAGCTTTGTCAGAATCTTATCTGGGTGGTACAGATATATGAAAGCCCCGAGAGTGTAGATTAAAATGAAACAACAATTTACATTAACATGGCAAATGTTAATGGTAACACAAATTATGTATCGTAGTTTTGAGCATGGGCGCTTGCAAATCTTAGCAAAAAGCTTGACATCAGGCGTTGCAGTCTCTGTAGGCCGAGGGGCGTCGGCCCTGCGGCTAATACTACGCCATGGAGAACGCGGGGGGGGGGGGGGGACAAAATGATAACACAATTGACAGAAGTACCATTCGAATATTTTAGGACTTCAAGCCGCACCTTTAGAAGGTAGCCGGACGTACATGGCCCCTGTGCGACTATTTAGATCGATTAATTGAACGGATTAGCCTTGGAGCGCCACGAAGTGGTGCTGGAATCTGGTGATAGACCTGGAGGAGTATAGCTATAATCTCTATAGTTCGTGCTGCTGTAGCTGTTCAGCTGTCCAGAGGACAACTTCAAAACTGTAAAAAAGATATGGTCAGCCTAACCCTTGAACGGTACGAATGAGCTTGATAAGACATTCGGAAGCATTATTCCGTGACAGTCGTCCTCACACACACGGCACCCGGCGCCTGCTGTTACTTGCAGTGGCCAGCGCCGTTCGGTTTTACGGAAACTGCGACCCAGGCTATCGCTGTCCTTGCTTCCGAGGCTGCGGGCACGCAGGCTTAATCCTTTATATAATTTGCTTCACTAGTCAGTTCTGCAAAAGAATGAACGTTCTCAGGGAAACAATAGATGGCCTCGTTCGTTTTTAAATCATTTCGCCATATTCCATTCAACACGAATGAAACCCCTCATTTCTTTCCGTGCAAGGGGCTCCTTGAGTAGAACACCAGGGGGCGCATATTGTTTCCCGGTCAAGGGCTGAGGGCCATTCCGTCCCACCGCGGGGTGGCTTCTGGCAGCCATTCTGGCGACACAGGGCGGGATCCCCTGACCGATCCGGAGGCCCTTAGAGGTATACATCACATCACATAGGTCCCCTCCCTGACGCGCGAGGCCTTCTGACCCGCTGCAGACCACAGTTGACCCCGGATCGACGCAGGAATCATCAGTTGACACAACAGCATTCCCTGGTCGCCGCAGGTGGTCCAATGATCAACACAAAGACTGCAGTTCGGCTCACCGGGCCCATGCTGGCATTTGATTGGGGGGCCCACTGTTCGGTCCCGGGGTCCTTGGCTGGCTTGGACCCCTCCATTGCCTCAATGTGAACAATCATTATGAGCGCTCATGTTTCCTTTTACTGTCAGAGGGCCACGA